CAGTAAATTCCAAAAATACTTTCGCCCAAAGGCTTAGAGTGTAAAACTTCTTATAACTTATAATAATATATTGTGATATGTGGTAGGATGCCTATACATTTGAATTCCCGAAATGTGATCACACAGCTGTGGAAAAAAATATAAAATGATAAAAATGCTGAGCTAGCCAACGTTTCCTCGGAAGTATTCCGACAACGCTTCAAAACCTTTGCTGTTCATGGTCTTTGGAACATCTTCAATTGAGTCGGGTCGATTGATCATAGCGTCCAAAATTGCCCTGTAGTATCCCCCGCTTTGGGAAGAGTGAGAGAAACAACCTTCCTTCTCATATTCCAATGCTTTCTCCCTTCCTGGACAGTGTTGGAAATCTGGCAAAACAAAGGGATAAGCTTGGAACTTGCACACTGTTTATATATCCCAGGTGGTTTGTTTGAAGTTTGACAGAAACAAGAACAATAAGACCTTCAGGAAGGTAAGTGCAAAAACATTGTGCATAACAGAAGCAACAAGACATTGACCAAGCATCGTTCCAAAAGAATGACATAGTATGCATGATGTTCACATTTCTTGTTGAACTGCTTATTCTCAACCGACGCATGTTTACCAGATTGGGCTTCTTCCCACCCTGCAGACACAATCTTCCGGCGCAAAGACCAGAGGCTGCAATCCAAGAGGTTTGCCGGGTCACGGACCCTCTCAGCTTTGGAAAGTACCGTTGCAAAAACGAGAGCTGATGACTGAAAAACCAGACGTCCCTTTGCATTTAAGAATGCCAAAGCGCGCTCTTCCAACCACTCAACTGCTGTTCGGTCTTCAGCACGCACTTTTTGAGGACGACCGCTCAACACACCGCGTTTTCCAAGTTCACAAATTGTATTCCTCTTGTTGGATTTATCACCATATAAGAAAATAGTTGCTTTTGTTTGAGTCAAAACTATCAAATGGTGCAAACTATTTCTGAAAGAAAACATTGTGTGAACATTTGGTGATTTCCTAAAGTAATGGTACCCCAAATTCCCAAATCATTTTAAGTTTGGCTATGCTAGTATTAAATTGGAACCCATGGTTTTGGGGTACCACCACATTTAAGAAACCTCCATATGTGGTAAGGATTTCTCTGAGCTTCGCAAGGGATTCATCAAGTGGGTCATCAGAAATCGGGTCCCCGACCATTTCATGAACTGCAGCTTCATCAAATTCTGTTTGGTGAACTACATCTTTGAACTCATGTAGGTAGTCAATGTTGTCATTGACGAAAATGTCGTCCAGTGGTACCGGCTGCACCATGGATGAACAAGTTTTGAATGTTGTTGCACCTGGATCACCTTGGCGTTCATTCTCAGGTTCAGCACCCTTGGAAACATCAAAAGTACCCAATACCGCGCAAGACAAAGAGCCTTTCCATTCATCAGTGGACCATTGTGTAAGCCTTTGCATATACTTCCTATGTCCTGGTCTGAACCCAAGAATTTGAAAACATACGTAGGTAGTTGCGGCATGATCAGGTTGGTGTCTTGCAGGCACTGCGTAGTATCCAGATTTGCGGGTCACACTCATAAAATGAGCTAGCTGCTCTCGAAAACCATTCGGAGAAAATGCGTCATCAGGCAAAGCTGCCAAGATTGCAGCGTTGTCTTCTGTGCGATCAGCAAACATCAAATTTAAATTGTGTCCACTTGTGAAACCCTGTAATTCCCTGAATGTTGCCCATTCCTCTTCCACCAGTTGGTCAAAACTATTGAGATAACGTCCCATGTTGGAGCGGAATGAAATTTGTTCCAAATCGTCATGAAGCGAACGTCTCAAGTTGGCCGACATGTGAGCCACCCCCAAAGATCTCGAGACCGCAACACGAACCTCAAGCTAATGCAGACAACCACACTTAAACAAAACAAACCCTAACTTTTACTGCGTGCCCTAGTGCTTTTTAAACCTCTATCTATCAAGTGAGCACAAAATTGTTGGAAACCCAGCAAACAAACAAAACCACACTTACTAAAAAGTATAGCAACGTGTATCAGATGATGCTTCGCTTCTAGCCTTTGCATCACCAACAGGCTTGAGGAGTAAGCAACAAGTTCCCGAAAGAGTTGTTGGTTCATGTAAGGGTCGATGCCACGTCCCCATCTCTCCAATCCAATGCGGTATTTCCCCCGGGCTTTGAAAAACTCTTGCCCAACATCACCCGTATTTCCCAGCCGACCAGCATCATGATCCTTTAATAGTTTCAGGGCCAAAGTTCTGCTTTTGTGGATCTCTGCGCTTGCATCTTGAGAAGGTAACAGATACCCCAACAATGCAACTAGGTTCCACGGGCTCTGGGACAGGAAGGAGGTATATTGTTTGAAACGTCCTTCAAGCATCCGCTTTGCTGTAGCAAAGCCTTCGAGAACACCACCAGCATCCCCCCCAAGATCACGCAAAGCACGGATGGCAGCTAATGCTGCTGGGTTTTGTTCCATAGAAGTTTGCCTCAGCGCCTGCAGGAAAGGCATGGGGCCAGTTGATGCAAATTCAATCAACCTTCTGCCGTTCCACTTGCAAGTCGATGACCCTGTCTCCTTTTTCAACCTCTCTTTGTCCTGGACCAAACCATGGTTAAAGCTGAGATGTGAAATTTGAAACTTAACAGATGTTGGGTAAACCCAGAGAGCTTAACCCTGATATGCCAGTGAAAAGTTGATGGGGTATTCAAGGTTTCTGTCATTTACTGTTTAACAAGTTAGTTTTGTTTAACAGCTACCTTTCCTCCTTTGTTGGATGACAATGACACCCATGCATCCATCCACTCAAGTGACGCCCCCATTCGCATAACAAGCGCATAGCATGCGCAAGGGCCCAAAAGCATCCAGAAACGACCTTGTCACTCAAGGCATTTGATTTCAGCATCGGAAAAACTGTACTCAGGATCTCCAGAATCCTCTGGGCCACGGCCACTGAGTGAGGTAGGATCGAGCCATGTCAAAAAACCGGCCCGGTGAATGACCCAAGTCAAAACTTCATACCGATATTGCCACCGATGCTTCACAAAGCTTGGGCAGCAGGTTTCAAACATTTTGCCAATGCTTTTTTTGCGGGCATCCCCTTCTACTTCCGGGTTGTCGTAAACAAAATGCTTTCGGAATCTCTCGCAATTGTCAGCTTTTGAAAAATATTTGGCCAACGTGTTCAATTGTTTGTCAAACAAAGCAAACATTTCAGTTTTCCAACATTCCCGCAATTCTTCCATCACATGGTGTAGTGCATGATCCACATCATGCAAAGGCAAAGTACGGGGAAAAGCACGACGGTTTGGATCAGAATCAATATCCGGTAGCAATGCCAATTTCGATTCCACCCCCATGTCGTTTAGAAAGCTGCATGTTCGAAATTTCGCCAGATCAACATTTCCGGTTTCAAGATGGATGCTACGCAGAAGCGCTCGAAACTTGAATGCCGTGCTGGTTGCTTTCCGCCCCAGAACTTGCACGGGCAACACCCGTGTTTTCCAACTCAGAGATTGCAACACACTTGCGGGAGTCAACGAGTAAACATTTTCCAAAGAAACATAGTCCACTTCTGTCACCAAATAATCTCTGGAAAACTGTGGCGATGAATCTGCCCTCAAATGAAGGGCCCACTGAATGTCATCCCTATACAAATGCTCCCGCGACCACCTAGGGTGATAGGATATCCAAAACAAAATCTTGTTTTCCGCACTATTTTTGTAAACATCCTGCAACCAACGAATTTTGAAACAAAAACTGAAGCAGCCTATTGCGTAACACAACGTGCGACACAAGATAGGTGAAGAATTGCTCAGCTATGGTTCACACATAGTCTAAAAACCATTTGATCTTATTGTGAGATTGCATAAACTTGATCAAAACCAATGAGAAACAATCAAACTGCTGACAACACACACCAAGGAACAACATGGTGCAATAATCGGCTTTGATCCGGAATGTATAGATCGTAGTCCGCTGAGGGAGACCCAATTCCTTTGCACTGCAAAACCCAATAGTCTTGATTCTAGATCTGGTAAACTGGAAAACTGATTCATCCAAAAGGTGATTGTGGGCTGATACTTTGATACCGAAACAGATATCAACGCTTGCATTGCTGTCAAGTTGACCAAGGATCCTGCTGCGTCAGATGGTCGCTCAACTTCGGGTCCAGAACCAGTTTCATTGCCCTGATAGGTTTGCTACATTTCGACAGCAACAAATAAATTTCATTTAAATTTCAATATTATATATATATTAATATTACATACAAATATAGTCACTTTTTTATACAATATATTCCAGATTTTTTAATGTAAGACATTCTTGTTGTTGCGCGTTTGTGCCGCACGTTTATGCTGACAATGATCTTTGGGGAAATTGTTCCTTTCAACCAGATAATGAAAATTATAAACACAAAACATGCTGGAATTGTTTGGCCTAGTTTCAATTTGACAGCTTTGGACATCACGTCGGTGTCAGATTGCAGGCTGCGAACAACATCGCCAAATAAGACTGTATCCAAGACAAAGTCTGATGCATACTTCCAACCCCCTCGTTCTCTACTTTCTCTCCCGCTGGTGAGTTTGAGGTATCTCTGCAAATGTAAAACACCATCCCTGGCACTGTCCCACTGCCCCGCGTCCATGTTGGAAAGAATTGCAGCAAACAAGCTGTCTATTTCCGAGGGATTGGGTTGTTGCCTCGGATCCATGCTACCCGGGACCAGGACTATGCGGTTTGATGCCTGTGTGGCAGCTGACCTACAACTTTTTTTTCTGGCCTTGAAAACAGATTTAGTTTCCAGGGTTGCCATTCGGGCACATTCATCCCAATCAACCTCCTTGTGCGTCCCTTCCAAATCTTGGAAAGAGACTCGCTTGCCGCCACTGAGAGGCTGCAAGAAAATGGTTTCCTGGGGGCCAACAGATGAAATATATGATACGTGCTATTGGCTAGTAAAAGCTGTTCGGTCTTTAAGATATTTGATTTATATAGATTCAGATTCCAGATGGTAATGTTAATATTGAATTACGGTATATATATATATACATTGAATCTTACCAATACTTGCCGCCGATTTCTCAATGACCCAACCTCATACATATGCATACACACACATAGCCTTACATACATATACACTCACGCACGGACACACACACACAGGTACATACGCACATATCCATACATCCATACATCCATTCATCCGTCCGTCCATCATACATCCATGCATCCATGCATCCATCCATCCATGCATCCAAACATCCAAACATCAATGCATCCATCCATCCATCCATGCATCCAAACATCCAAACATCAATGCATCCATACTTATTACAGGTTGTTTAACATACAGCATCACATAAAACTTATCTATGTTGAAGCATCACACATGGATGCGCTCACTTTCCCTGGGAAGTGAGCGCATGCTTTTTTTCGGCACCGTTGAATTGCCAACATAGAAAAGCAACTTTGTGTGGTCCCCATTTGCGGTTTAGCCTGCATTCAGGCACACGCAGTTTTTAGATTCAGGAAATAAAGAGTTATCACCACGTTGGGTGAAAAACCTCATCCATCCATGCATCCATCCATCCATCCATCCATCCTTACACACATACACACACACATACACACATACATACATACCTACCTACCTACCTACCTACCTACCTACATACCTACATACCCACATACCTACATACCTACATACCTACATACCTACATACCTACACTACTCCCACTACATACCTACATACCTACATACCTACATACCTACACTACATACCTACACTACATACCTACATACCTACATACCTAGATACTTAGATGCACACATAATACGTACATAGACATAAACATACATGCCCACAGAAAAGAGAACAATGACAACATGTGAAGTGTGAGGGACGCCTTGTTTGATCGAAAATGCCTTTGATCCACCAGCGGCAGCTTGATCATCTGCCTACGCCCTTGCTGTAGCACTTTGCAAGCCACAGGTGGTTCAAACGTTCCGTCAAATAGCACTGCATGGTCATTGCTGGAACGCCCACAGCGAAAAATTCTAAGTTGAACAAAATGATCTTTCCTTGGGCTGTCAGTTTGTCCATGCGGGTGGCTTGTGACCGAACTACTAACTAAGAACATGTTTCCCCACCTGTCAGGTGAGGGTTGTTAGATTTTATGTCAGCTGGCCCGCTGCCTTCCTCCTTCTTCTTCTCCTCCTTCTCCTCCCCTCCCCCTGCGCCGGATTTCATAGCATGCCAGGACGTATGCCAGAACATATGGCAGAAAAAATGCCAGATAGAATGCCAGGGAAAATGCCAATATAAATTCCACAAAGGACGCCAGATAGTTAGGATGTCAGAATAGATGCCAGATAGACTGCCAGAATAGAATGTCTGATAGAATGCCAGAAAAATGCCAGAATTTGAATAGAATGTAAGAAGATTATATCACACATGTTTCCAGCTGATATGTCATGTCAGAGTCAGAAACTGTGACAAATTGAGTTTCAGGGTAGGGATCACTTGAAGTAACATTTTCTCTGGAATGTGAATATGCCCCAAAAAAAATCGTTGAAGTTCGGACTGTTCGGACTATGAGCAACACTAATTCATTAAATGTTGCCAAGTTGGGAAAAGCGACACCTCACCAGAATCCGCCCAGCCCGAGCGCAGAAAACACCACAGCACTTTGGATTCCAGCCGTTCGTTCTGCCATCCTGACAGCGAATCATCCAGGGACTGATGCGGCTCCGAAGATGGTAGTGAGCCCTCATGGCCCGCACTCGCACCACCAACCGCACATACTTGTGCCATTCGCAAAGTGAAATCAAATGCCAGTCTTAGGTGATCTTGGGGACTGTATTTGACATGTGCTGCATGCATACTGACTATGATATGGCTGTCTATTACTGATTCATGATTATCATCTGATGATTTCCCAGTGCATGTGGCATCTAAAAAATGTGAGGGAAAATTAAAAAAGGAAAATCAACATAATATAATTACCAAACTTCATAAATGAATATGGTTTACAATTTGCAATCATATTTTCATGTTTCGTTTCTGGCGGAATGCTTTAGAATCTTTAGAACTTGGTTGTTGGTTCAAATGTTACCAGTAAGTAATTGGTGCCTCGACTCAATTCCAGGCGCAGCTGACATTGGGCCATCGCAAACATGACCACGGTTTGTCTTCAAGTAGAGAATCCCGCTTTTGGTGAACTTAGAACGGCTGTTCAACCCACATCGGCATTTTCTTTCCGATGAAGAATCCAACTCTTAGTTCTTTAGTAATCCAAAATTTTGTTGTTTGAGTTGAACCATCCCCGGTCAGCAAAAGTTCAAGGGTAACCGAATAAGCCCTTAAAGATAGAAGTGATAGAAGGTCCTTAGTCTTGGGCATCCATGTCGTATGTTTCCCCACCAAAAATGATTCAATTACATTGTAAATTGTACAGCCTCGGAAACAAAATTGTTTCAGCTGTTGCCAAAAAACCAATGGTTTAAAACCCATTTTTCTGAAGTTCCAAGTTTTTCAAGGTCCCTTTTGGTGGGGTACCTAGGCGCCTTCCCCCGAAAGGGCTGGCTGACATTAGTAAAGATAATATAATATAATATAATAAATATTTTTCATATTATATATCTACAATGAATAATATATTTTTCACCCTGCGAGGTCTGGAAGTTGCGCGTTCTCCTGTCGCAGCCCCACGATCCTGTTTCCATTCACCATGACGCCTGGGCCATCAAGAAGATGTTTTCCCACTCCCTTCGGAGAACGGGTTCTGACAGCCGGAACTCTTTGGAAGACCGCAGTCCGAACCGGCGAGTTTCTCCATTGGAATCAAGAACCATGTTTTTTTCCATGTCAGTAGCATCAGTGAGCATGAAACCTCAACTAGTTTCAGGGCTTTCTGCTTTCCTGCCTTTTCTGAATCTCATGTCGTGCAATCCTGAGGCTCCTGGAGTGGCTGACTTCTATGAGGTCATCTACCGCCACTGGGGTCAGGCACTTCAAAATCTTCAAGCTTCAAGGGCAGAGAAGGCCAAGGAGAAAGGCACTGCTGCTGAGGCTGTAGTCATCGAGATCCCAGATGATGACGGTGACCTTCCAGCTCTGGAGCAACGCTCCCTTGAGCAGGCCAAGAGGGGCATCGTGATTGAAGGGGTGGTTTGCATTGATGGTCCTGAGCCTGAGCCATCTGCTGATAAGAAGGACAATGCGGAGGTCTTGGTTGAGAAGAAGTCAGGTGAGAGGGAGGAAGTCAAGCAAACCACTGACTTGTCTGAGACAGCGGAACATGTCAAGGCTGGGGTGGAGGCGGAGCTTCCTACTTTGGGTCGGGAGGCTGCGCGTTTCCGCATGACCATTGATGATGTGTTGAACCCTCCAAACTTGCCACCTTTGAAGTATCTCACCAAGCCTGCGAGTATGGAGCTGAAGTCGGTGGATGACATCAATGCTAGGATGGAACAGCTTAAGAAACTCAGTTTGGATTTGAACTCTCATCTTTTCTCTGTTTGCACCAGGTGAATTTGTTTTTAATTCTGGGTGGACACATTGAACCCATTTTCTTCTTCGACTGCCCAAGGCAAGCCATGGAAAGCCGAAAGAAGAAGGATCACATTCCTGCTGCCAGCGCTGCTCCTTCGCAGGGTCCCAGCACTGGTGCTGGCAGTCAGGATCCCAGCATTCGTGCTCCCCCTCAAGATCCCACTACTTTGGAGACGTTGGCCTACGATGCTGATGCCGAGGCTGCTTCCTATGGCACCCCGTATATCTTGGAAAAGGATCCTGGCTTGCTCCTCACAGTGGAGTCTGCTTGGAAGGTTGATCACCTTTTGAGGAAGGGTGCTGCTGAGATGGATGATGCTGCCTTGGCTAAGCAGCTTCAAGACCTTCCCCCGGGTACTTGTGAGGCACCATTCACAGAGGAGAAGCTGCACCTGGCTTCACCTACCATTGAGAAATCAGATGCCTTTGCAGCCTTTGAATCGCAAGAGAACATGGACGAGCGCTCATTTGGCCCTCAAGATTCCGAGCCTGCTGATGTTTTCCAGCATCCTGGTGCTAGTCCAGAAGGTGGACATCTGGGCATGGCGGAGGAGGATGGGAAAGTTAGAGATGGCAAAGATGTTGACATGCTTGAGCCCCAGCGACAGGCTGAGCCTGCCCAAGTGGTTGAGCCTGTGCTTGCTGCTGAGCCCGACAAAGCGGTTCATCCCGTGCAAGTGGTTGTTGATGAGTCCCCGGCTAAAGTTACTGAAGCTGAGCCAGCCAAAGTGCATGAGCCTGGTGATGAGCCCAAGCCTTTAGAGCATGGAGCTCCCCATGACATGGTGGCAAAGGAGGAAGTTGTCAGCATGCTGGAGTGCATGCTGTCAGATGGCATGGACCTCAAGGATGCGATCGCACAAGTGAAAGGTGCCCCACTGGTCTTGCGAGTGGAGCAGTTCAAGAACAAGAGCAGTCAGGCTGCTGAAAGGCCTGATGATGACGTTGAGCCTAGTCAATTGCCTGGGCAGAGTGGCACGCCCAAAGCCAAAGCCAAGGCGAAAGCCAAGGCTAAGGCCAATGCCAAAGGCAAAGCCAAGGCGAAAGCCAAGGCAAAGGCCAGTACCAAGTCGAAGGCCAAGGCCGCAGCAAAAAGGAAGTCAAAGGCCAGCAAGGCCCCAGAAGAGGAGGCTGATGCTGTTGATTTGGACGAGGATGATCAGGCAGAGGATGATCAGGCAGAGGATGATCAGCTGGAGGATGATCAGGCAGAGGATGACATCCCAAAGGAAGAGCCCCCAAAGATCGAAGTGCCAGAGTCGGTTGAAGTGCCGAAGGTGGAGGTGCAGCGAAAGGCCAGTAAGGCCAAGAGAGACAAGGAGCCCAAGGAGGATGAGCGCAAGAAGGTGGAGCCCAAGCCGAAGAAGCAGCGCCCAGAGGCCAACAGCTTCGCCCGCCGCCCCTGTCCTGCCACGTCCCCTGCCAAAGACCGCTGGGCTGCCATTGTCAAAACGTTCAAGGAGGAGATCCGGAAGCCCCTCATGGACATGGAAGAGCCCATTTCCAAGTGGGAGGAGGGGTGGGAATGCGAATGAGGGTTGCTGATTTTTTACTTTTTGAAGCTATAGAGATAGTTTGGAGAAAAAGTGAGGTTGGAGAAGAAGTTTGGATGGATATCTTCCATGATGGTTTTGATTGAAAATGCCCTTGTTGCAGGAGCCGTTCTTAAACATGGTCATGAAGACGTACAACAAGAAGGGCAACGTCGAGGACCTATCTGAGTACCAGAAGTTGGCACTTTCTTGTGTGCCGGCTTTCCTGGCATTTGTCAGGGCATCCGTTTAGTTGAGTGTTTCACTGTGCATACATCTTTTTGATCCATACGATGGATTGTGATGGGCACGCAGCTTCTTAGCCAGCTGGCATTGGCAGCATACTGTTATCTCAAAGACACCGCAACTGCAATTGTTCAGTTCACTGTTTTCTATTTGCAGTGTCCAAGTCTTGAGCCGAATAGTATATAGTATATATTTTAAATATTATATATATATCATATATATATTATATATTGTATACTTATTATATCAACTATGTTCTTTGCTTGCTGTGAAGCTGCTTAGCTATGTGAGGGGCTCCATGCATGCTGCATTGGAGATTATAGGTTTTCGGGTTCCCTGCGTGTGTGTGCACACGCCATGAGGGTGTGATCACGAGCGCATTGCTCGTGCTGGTGGCTGCTAAATGCAGCATCTATCTGCGATCTGGAACATTGGATTGAAAAAAAAACAAGTGTTAATTAACTTACTATAACCATTACATGCTTCCTTTCACCAGTTTGCCACTCCCATAGAAACCCCATGAAACCCCTGTATGCCCCTGTTGCTAGCCTCTCAGCTGTCTCTCCGATTTGCCAGCCATTGGCCAGGTTCTGCATGTATGGCCTGCGGAAAGGCCAAATTGGGCTTGCGAAATTCGGTGTTGGAGCGACCTATGAACAACCATGCCAGCCCAGCACAGTTTGATACGGTGATGGGTTAGCATTTTTGAATGCAGTCTTTACTTGCATGGATTCAACAGCTGAATGCATTGAGCTCGAGGTCATGTGAAATATAGTAGCTTACAACTTCTGGTTACAACAGTTCTTTTGATTGTGTTGCATACAAGATATGTTATAAAGATGTCCAGTGTGGGAAGGCTAAGATGTTTTTCATGTTTGAATGCATCATATGCTGGATTTTGGCCCAGTACTTCAAGCCACTTCCGATATCGAATGTGTATCACTGGGGCATAACTGGCGCCCTGGGCAATGGGACCTGCAGAGCGTGACATATTCTTTAAAAGAATGTTTGCCTTTGGAATCCCGAAAGTTTCTTGGTCATATAGACTGCAACCTTTGCCATATATCCCTGACCGGTTCCGCCTGTTTCCATTGAGGTTATCATTTTCCTGGTCCTTCTGATCTCCTGGATGGAGGACGCCGATGATGTCAAGTCTGACTTTCAAGTGATCGAATATTTTAGTGGCTGTGGCCGCATAGCCCAGCTAGCTGACTATGCTGGGTATCAATCAGTGGGATTTGACTTGGAATATGGCATTCCAAAAGCTAGACAAACTGGTCGACGGAATGCAATGGACTTAAATTCAAATGGCGGGTTCGTCTTGGCGGCAAAATTGATTTTGAGATCTCGATTGGACCTGCTAGTCGCAATGTTTGCCATATGTTGCAGCTCCTTTGTGCCAGTAAACAGGGCCACTGGGTCCCGGGATATATTAGTTCCTGAGGGAAATGAACATGTAGTTTCTGTCCGAAAATCCAATAAACTTCTATCTCGGAATCTTGGATGGAAATAATAATTGTTTTGGGTTGTGGCATTTTTTCTTTGATTTGAATATCCCCCCTTACACATTGAAATCCCCTGGGATTGGTTAACAGTTAACAAGATATGGTTTTTATAGATATAGCTCTAGGTTGACCGTCGCTTGTGCTCAGGAGCGTGATTCTCATGGTCATGGTCATTTGCGCAGGTGGCACCATTTGCCTTGAAAACCCACAGAATTCAGTGATCACCCTCCATGAACGATTTGTATGGTTTGTCAAGCTCCTACAAAGCTACAGCATCCCAGCACCTCATCGTTAAGAGTTGGGTATATATAGCATTGGGCGGAATCAGAAAATAATGACTATGATAATTCGATATCTGTATCCAGTTGACCTGAAACCATGCTAGTTTTCAAAGAACTCTTGAAGTTTTCATTGTTTGAAGTGGTGACATAACAAGTATGAAAAATCCCTTACATGCGTGCATTGTCAACTAAGATCTTCAAAGCTTCTTTCTGGATGCGGAAGCACCTGGCTTTGACTTGGAAGCGCACCTGGATGTGGGCAAACTCCAAACTTATTGAGCAGTTGGACCTGGGCCCGCTTCAGCCATCAGAACGGCTAACAACTGTGAAGACCACCAAAAGGACGAAAGGAAAAGATGGGAAGACTAAGTGGCAGGGAAACCGGAACCTGAAAGGTACCCAGTGATTTGACAGCAATCTGTAAACATTTTCATTTAGGTGATTCCCAGTTCTTGGTTGCCAGCAATTGCAAAGGTTACCAAAGTTGAAAAACCACTGGTGCTATATAAGTTCATTGGAGGGAAATAGCGTTCTTATTTCCCTTCTACTTCTCTATCGGGGCCACTGCCAGAGCTGTTTAAGGCAGTATACATATCGCTTTGCCCGCCACATGGTGGAACTGTTCCCAAAGTTTTTGGACAGCAAACCTGCTAGATTGCTTCCTGCTGCACCTAGCACTCATGGATCAAATTTTGGATTGTTTTTGAGGATGTTCCCATTTTGTTTTTTTAGGATCAACCTGAATTGTTGAATATCATTGCCTTGTCCGGTAACCAGGTATCAGAAGACAAGTCTGTGTTGCAGCTGTTCAAGGAGTGCAGCTTTGATGAGCGTTGGGATGAATGTTGTGATCTTCAAGACCTTTTAGTTTACTGCAGGGGTTCAAAAAGACTCCGGATTCCTCCAGGGTGGAGGGATGTGTTGCCCTGTGAGCTCTAATCCTTGAGCTCCCTGCTGCGAAGCACCGGATCCCACTGGCGCTCCTGACCATGGATGAAAGATGCACTCTCTAGGGCTGTGGTCGTTGTGGTGGGGATTCTCTTTTGTGGTTCAATTGCCTGTTTCAAATTTAAGATCCAAAAGCTATTGTTCATGAAATCCATGAATGCCATCAAGAAGGGCTTGAACAACTCACGGTTGGATTATTCATGAAACTCATGAAGAGTGTTCAAATATCGTCAGGGAATCGGCATGCACACTTGGTAATGATTTATTCATGGAGTTCATGAACAAATTATTCATAGATTTTATGAATGATCTATTCATGAACTTAATGAATGGTTTATTCATGGATTCCATGAACGATTTATTTCACCAATGGTTTATTCATTACTTTCCTGAATGGTTTATTGGTGAAATCAACCATTGTTCATGGAGTATTGTTCATGGAGTATTGTTCATGGATTTCATGAATAAGATTTCAGAAGTGAATTATTCATGGATTTCATGAATAATATTATCTTAAACATATATAAGGTGTTATTCATGAAATCCATGAATAATCTCAAAAAATTAGCGGCAGGAATTCCCGGGTTAGCGGCAGGAATTCCTGGGTTAGCGGCAGAAATCCCCGGGAAGCTATTTTCAGTCTCAGAAATGTTTGGGATATCGCTTCCCTCACGTGCCTTCAGTTCTGAGAGCCTCATGGTTGGTGAAAACTTGGTTGCGAGCCAAGTATTCGATTCTGTGAGCGATGCCGACATGCTGGCAGAACTTCGATACCTTGAGGACTTCATGGTTATAAGACCCTTTTTTTATACCAAAGACCATTTTTTTTTAAGTGCCTGGTGGTGATATTAATCTTTTCAACAGTGGGGCCCCATATCATGCATCAATTTGTTCACTATTCAAACACTGTGCATGTTTTAATTAATACAAGTAACGGCCATGAGTTCATTTTCTCCCCCCAGGACCTGAAGAAGACTATTGAAACTAGACCAGTTGCAACCCCAGCACGTGGAGTTGAGCCCGACCAGAGTCTTGACGCATCTCATCTTAAATCAAAAATGTTCAAGTCCAAGGGTTTCATTATTCAGGAACCTTTTGCAATTTGTTTGGCTGATCCACATTGAACCAAATCATAAAACTAAGGTCGAATCAGTGGAGTCTGCTACTGTTGACCCTTACACTCCTCCTCATCCTGAGCCCTCACCAGCACTTCCCCGGAAGCTCTCCTTTGAATCCGGTCCCAGTGAGATGCCTGCGATGCTGCACGATGGTCTGGTTAAGGATTTGGTTGCGACTGTGTCTGAGTCTGCAACCAAAAAAAGGATTGAAAGGTTGATGCAGCCAAAAGCTGATGGAAGTTTCAAAGTCCCCGAAGAGCTTGTACAGGAATGGCGTACAGGTGACCAAGCCCGTTTACTTCAAGAGTTCAAGCATGCTGGTTTGGATAAGGACCCCATACATGCAAAGCATATATAATATGTTTTTTGAAAACAACTATTGTATTCCATGAACTCAATGTTGGCAATGCAGGACAACTTTGTGAAAAGAAGCTTGAAAAGAATCCGAGAACAAATATCCGAGAATTCCATGTGGGTGGATGGTGAGTTTGTATCTGAAGCGTACATGAAAGAAGAGCTGAAGCTTTCCTCGCTTCTCGGCTCCACAACTTATAAGGCCTGAAATACTGCCACATGGTAACTTAACTTGTCTTCATTTCTTGAGCATGCTGAACCAAATGACATCTCAGGGACCGAATCAAAAGCATAAAGGCCAAATGTGAGCGAAGCAAAGGGTGGATCCGGTGCCTCAGCATAATTGATATGCTATTAGTGTGCAGCCTATACTGCAAATGCCTGCCCTGAAAAAAAAAAAATATTTGAGACATTTGAGCTTGCCTAGGCGTGACCAGTACGACAGGCAGAAGTTGTATTGGTATGAGCACAATCTCAAAGGACGCAAGTTGTATCTTTGGCTGAAATTTCCTGCTACTGTTTCCTTCATAGACATGGTACAACGTTGTCCTGTCTTAAGTCTTAAGTGTGGCTATGCGTGGCTTATCCCATTAAGACATGCTACATGTTATATCAACCCCAGCTCAGGAAATGTGCCCGCAAGACAGTGACTGGGGAGGACTCATCTGATGTGGGAGAGGATGAGTCGAACGGAGACCTTGAACTTGAAGCATGGGATCACGTAGACATTCCCTTTGATGCAGGCCGAGTTTTGGGTGAACAAATAATGTTGATGCCTTATCAGAATATATAATTGGGTAATTTTTAGTGGAATTCCCTATACTGTGGTAACACTAGTCAACATCCCCTACTAATTAAGTTGTATGGATCACTGTTTAGGAATCCTCATAATGGAATGTTCGATATTCAAGTGGATATCCCATACTCCCTGAAAGAAGAAGATGTCATGAATGAGAAGGCGGAAAGCGCGCTGACTGAAGCAAAGGCTTTGAAGCAGATTACCTTTCCCGATATGGATTCGGATGGGCTCCCCAGTAGTTATGTCCCAAAAGTCTTGGGCTGCTTGGGAAAGTGGCAATTGAAGATGGCTGACTTGGCCTCGAAGTTCAAGTACAGTGGAGATTCTTCCCTGAAACAGCTACTAGTCTTTCAGGATCCAGGGTCACATGGTTTGTCATACAATATGTTTCTATAATAATGGTTTCCGAACCTGTGGTTTTGATATCATTATCACGAATTTAGTGCCCCATTGTTCCCAGACAGTACTGGTTCATGTTATGTTGGTTCTTAATCCTTGTTTCTCCACTACTGCTGCTGGCCTGGCCTCTCTGAGGCTGGGTCACAAATGCGAGGCCTTCGGCACCAACCTGTCGAAACTTGCTGATGAGCTTTCCGAAGTGAACACTCATGGGATCGTCTCGGGTTTTACCAATGCGTATCTCACCGCCATTAAGGGGGTGGTTGATTCCTTTATATAAAGCAATTGTGTTCCCTTTCAAAACTGGCCTTATGCTTCCCAGGCAGCAGACCAAAATCCGGGAGATCTATGACAGATGCAAGCAAGAGTGCTTTAGCTGGATGAGAATTGTTCCAGGGAAATCCAGGGATGTTCTGTCCATAAGTGTTTTCTGTTGGGGAAAAAACATGACACAATAATGTAGGAACTGGTTTATACATGTTCTCACATGGTGTTAGAAGCTGGTCTGGCCCAGGTGCCGCCAAGCCCTTTGCCTCCAAGGCCGTGCTGTGTTGCTTGGAATTTAATGGCTCCTTCCCGGGTGGAAACTCAATATGGTGTTCGATTCAAGCTTATCCACCAAATGATGCCATGAGAACCCAAGCTGTTGTGTGTGAATATGCATTAAACCTTTATCCCACATCAATGAATCCTGTGATAAAGTGATATCATTAATCCCGGGTATGAATATCATCCATACATGGTAGATAGTTTAAACATGGGATTTAAAATGTCAGTATACCCCTTTCTCACGTTCCAGCCCACCTCTTGGTACCACTGGCTCCTGCACAACCTGGGATGGTGCGGAAGCTGCAGCATTTTGAGTTGGGGCAATCCAGAAGTATGGGAAAGAAACGCGCTATATACGTTACATTTTTGGGGGGTCCTGCTACAGGTAGTCCCAAACTTTCTATCTCCTCATTGTAATCCCAAGGCATTCAAACTAGTTTGTTTCAAAATCTTTGTGGTCATTCAGGGTACAAGGATAGCATCCCAAAACCTCTGGTGTTGAGTATGTGTGGTAGCTAGAGGTAAAGTGTTTCACTGCTGATAATTTCGCTGGGGGCGAAGCTTGGGAATGGTGATGATGATGAATGATGATGATGATGATGATGATGATGATGGTGATGATCATGATGATGATGAAGATGCTGATGATAATGATTATGATGATGATGATGATGATGACGAATATGAAGATACTGATGATAATGATTATGGTGATGGTGATGGATAAATGATGACTGGCGTGACTGGAATCAAAATGATAAAGGGTGGTGGTTACAATGTTAAATGATATTGTTTTATAGTGGTGCCAATGCTGATGCTGATGACGGCAAATCTGAGTCGAGGCATGGTGTTGCTGATGATGTGATGGTGACTGTGGTGATGATGATATTGGTTATGATTGTGATGATGATGATGATGATGATGCTGCTGGTGGTAATGACAATGGTATCACTGAACATGTGGCTGGTGATGACACTGATGTTGGTGTCGATGTTGTTGTTGTGATGATGATGATGGTGATGATGCTTATCATGGTGATGATGGTGATGATGATGATCATGATGATGATTCCAATGATGATGACGATGATGACAATGATGATGACGATGATGATGATGATGATGAGGATGAGGATGATGATGATGATAAGGATGATGGTGATAATGATACTGATGATGTAATTAAAATAATAACAATTCTGATGATGATGATGATTATGATGATGAAGATGATGATGATGATGATGATGATGTGGATGTTGATTATGGTGATGATGATAATGGTGATGATTATGATGATAATGATGATGATGATTATGATGATGATGATGATGAATTTGATAATGATTCTGATGATGATGATGATGATGATGATGAGGATTTGGAAGAATATGATGATGATGAGCTTGATGAAAATGATTATGATTATTATGATGATGATCATGATGATGATGATGATGATGTTAATGGTGGTGATGATGATGTGTTTTAAATTGTTTTAAGTGGCCCTCAAATGGGAAAGGCTTTTTTTTGTGGATCTCACGCTATATTGTTTTCCTGAAGAAGAGATGCTTTCCTAGGCCGTATCTCAAGTACTTGAAGCAGAAGAGCAAACAAGTGAAGACTGAAGCTCCACCGGTGTAGTGCGATCAGAAAATCCAAGCTATATATATATATATATATTAGAACGATTTTTTTCGTTGGATTAGTTGAGACCAATTTATTCATAATATATTATATATATATAATATATATATACTGCTTTTGACATTC